AAAAAAAAATCATTTGAAAAACGAACTTACTGCACTAAAGAATATTATATATAATAGATAACCTTTTAGTATGTGATCTGTGGTTTATAAATAAGTAATTTGGTATCTATGATACATTTTGAATCTTTAGTTTTAAAGTGAAGACATAACGTTCCAAATTCGAAAGTTTGAATTTAGTTTGCGAGTAATGTGTCGTAAGCTGTAAAAAAAAATCATTTGAAAAACTAATTTTTATTAAGTACACTAAAGAATAATATAGAGATTTTTTTATTTGAGATTTAGTCTAAATATATGTAATCTGTGGTCTATGAATAAGTAATTTGATACCTACATTTGGAATCTTCAGTTTTAAAGTGTAGACACAGCGTTCCAAATTCAAAAGCTTGATTTTAGCTTAGAGATTCGTGTCGTAAGCAATAAAGAAAATAGAATTAAAATTTTAGTGTCAGTTACTTTGAGTTTTTGTACAAAAATTATGTGTAGTATTTGATATCATTAATAATTTAAAACTAGGTTATATTATTTTTGTTAGTTTTCATTAGTCAAGAATGTAGCTTAATTGTAAAATATGAGGAAACAAAATAAATATGAACGTTATAAATAAACTAAGTATTAAAGTTATAAATATCATCGAATAGTTGGTTTCTTTTGCACTTGCGGTATCTGAAAGGTTTCGCGAGGAATTTTCTTATTTAAAATTTTAAGTGTATTGTGCTCGTTATTGAATCAATTGTTTATTCGTAACATCTTTGTTCAGTCCATAAAAATAGTGGAATTTAAACATTTATGTGGTGTTTTCCCCGAACTTGCAACTTGGGTGTTCTTACTTGTTTGTGGTTTTGTTCGAAAATTCTGCTTCTTAATGGAGACATATATATTGTAATTATAACGATTGAATTAGAACATATAATTTTGTGTTGTTAATATCTTAATAATTAAAAATTAAAGTTTTACCAAAATATAATTTCATACTTGTTGCTAAAGAAGTAAAATCATTAAATATAACGTTTAAGAACGTTATATGTAATATACGCATATTTGTAGAGATACGCAAGTATCATAAAGAAGGATATTTTAAATTAGGTATATTTAATTTGTAATTATCTTTTAATTTTTCTTACTTTAAAATATATGAAGTATATTTGCTAAAAAGAAATATTAAATGATAATAAAAAGTAAGATAACAAAATAAGATAATAATTAAACTCAACCAAAGAAATTCTTACCAGTCAACCATAAGGGAAACAGAGAATTTATTTAGCGGTGCATTTTAACTACATGTATTTTAAATTGTGCTTAGATTTAATTTAATTTGACGGGTTTGTGGACGGATGCTCGCGGATTTGATTTTGACACATAGAGTAGATATAATCGTTCGAATTGGTCTAGGTGTTTTATATGTACTTAGAACATAATGATGTTCTTAGCGTAAAAAACATTGAAATTGTTTATTACAAATTTTTGTTTAGGATTAACAAGTGAAATCTTTGGTTATTATTAACTATTATTTCTGAAGAAATAATTTGAATTTAGAATAAATAATTTTAAATTACTATTAACAATAACTAAATTGGTAGTGTATATCACCCTGGGTTGTTATTATCAGGCTTGTATGACTAAGAATAAAATTCATTCTAAAATTATATATCTGTGTAACATTTTTTTTAACACGGCATATTTGCGTAGATCACTTTTGAAACAAGCAAGCAAGCAAGCCCGCCTGAATTAAAATCCATTTAATCGAGCTGTTTATTCATGTACGTGTATTACAAACTCTTATGAAACTTTAAATTAAAACAAAACTATATTCGTATGGCTATATAGGCACAGTTCGATTTGCCTTTCCTAAAGGATAAACAGAATAAAAAAATATTCGTTTGCAACACTGCGCAAACTTCTCTCTCTTTTAGAAATCATTAAAGGTTGTACTGTAGATTAAATTTTGGTTTAATTCTCATACGGACGGTGCCAACTCTTATAAAGGATGGCGTTAATTGCTAGGTGATTATTATTATTATATTACATCTACTAGATTACGAAACTGCATCTTCTGAATACAATCAATAGTAAGGTATTTTAAATAGGATGCACAAAAAGTCGTAGCCGCTTCGGTAGCACTCTCCATGACGAATGTCACCGCGGGTGCGTTTGATGTTGCCGCTAGTTCGGAAACTATAATCGGAATAGATCGGAATCGAATCATTCGAATAGTAAATCGATATGATTGCCGACGGATAGATCGATTTGTGATCGCTGTGTGATTGCCGAGGTGTAATAGGATTAATACAATTTTGATCATTGCTCTCTGCTACCAAAGGATAACAACTATAATTTGAGTGGATACTGTACCTGTAGGAATTTTTATTTATACGCAATATTCTATATATTAATATTATGAAGAGAGTTAGCAGATTGTGTTATAAGGAAAGTAAACTCCGAAATCATTACATTGATTCGAGAAATTATTTCTTATTAGTTGTTTAATGTTATATAATAGTCATTTATAGTATATACATATTTTTACCTTAATGTGAGCTATATTTTAAATTTGGTATATATAACAAAACAATTTCGCAATGAAATTATGCATTTATTGAAATGAAATTTGTTTGAATACACCGAAAAATTTAATTTATACATATGTTAAATAGCACAATCACATTCAAAACAAAAAAATAACTAACTAAGGCTAGTCTAATCTAATTAAATTAATAAAATAAACATATTTACTTGTGTATTTTAATAAGATTATATTATGTTATTTTATCATGGACTTGTAAATAATTCGATATTATTATTATATACATTACGCTTTTTGAAGAGGCAAAAGTATCAAAATCTGTGATTATACTTTTTCAAAGACACTGAAATCGAAGCAGCTTCCAACAACGCGTAAATAATCAAGTTAAACAGTTAAAAAAAGGAGATGGGCTTCTCGGTCGTCTCCGCAAAGCAATTAGAGACTTTTGTTGATCTAAATGCGTTTTTTGATCGATTCCACCGATTTGCTAAGATGCTTCAACTATTATGATCTATGGTAATTAGTCTATATTGCACTACTAATATTCCCCGGGTCCGCTTGGATAAGTCAGTATAAGCATAGATTAGGAAATTAAACTACATATATTTATATGTTGGTGAAATCTCTAACGAATTTTAATTGTAGCCGATTGAAAAAAGCAGTTCTAACGGAATTAGTTTATATTTACTCGAAGAATAGAGCTCGACTGTAAAGTCTACCTTAAAACAATTTTATAGACAATTGTGTACATATATGTAATAATAATATCTCAATTAGAAACTGGCATCAATAAATAGATACATTTTTTTGCAAATATATAATAAATATATATAGAAAACACCGACACAAACAATTATACTTATGAATACAAATAGTTGTATGGTTCGAGGAATCGAACCTGCGGCCATCAGTGGTGGTAAAATAAAGTACTGTGAAAAACTACTAGACCAGGCCGTCATTAATTTAAATTCTTCCAATTATATTTATGCTAAATCTCGTAAATTTATTTTAAAAAGAATTTACAGAAAAAACGTAAATTATGCTTCAATAAAATCAGCAATGTGAGCTGATTGGACATAACGGTTTTGTGAATGAAATTCCTAAATGTTCTAATTTCGTATCACTGCGTGGTGCGCATGCGCAGCGGGCGCTAACGACATCTGTGGGGCTCTAAGTGGAACTTTTGTGCGATTCGATTCGGCTAAGATCGAGTAGCCGCCTTTTCAGACAACTAGCATGTATTTAGTGACGGTTGTATCGTTTTCGAATTTGGAATGCCATGTTTTGTGGCGGTGGCCGTCCGATGGTCACAGTCGTTATGATATGTATTATGGTATCTATAAATTATAAATATTACCGTTTTTTTTAACTAGGTAGATTTTGTAAAAATTGTCTGTTTGTTTTACTTACTTCTGCCTTAAGGCATCTCAATTACAAATTAAAATCCCTTAAGGCATTAAGGTAGTCAAATTACATGGTACGGAAGCATGACATCTTAATACTCCAGAACGGCTTGATGGTTGCCATCAGTTTGTTTGCCATTAGCCAATGCAACTTATAGATAGAGATACAATAGTGGATAATACTAAGTGCTTCTTCTGTGCTGCTCAATACAGGTCCTTATTGAGGTCTTGAGATAAATGTAGGCCCATCTGGTAAAATGTACGTAGATTTCAAATACTGTTTTCTTTTAAATACGTGCAGTAAATTTGGAAAATAACCTCGATCTCACACAAAAGCACAAAATGGATTATCATCTAATTTTGATAAAATCTAATCGAAGTTCAGAAGCCAATATCAAATTTTCAGGAATTTATGTTAATTTTTCTGTGCAACAGATTATTTAATACCTATTTGCACATATTTATAATCGCGTTTTGTGCAATATATTTTTTGGTATTAAACTGATATGAATTTTGAAAACTAAACAAGAATAGTAGAGTATAATAAGAAATGTATGCAGTTCCAATGATGAATTACTGCAGTCCGTACCACTTAGGGGCGAGTTATGGGCCACACACATCCGGATTAGCAGACCCTTATTGGATGTAAGTAACTTACATACCCGTAAGTAACATTACATAACACTTCTTATTATATATAGATTATAACATTGACAGTTCAGAACTTTTAAACCTATTAGTAGGTAGTTTTAGGAATTAGAGTAATAGTGGGAATATGTTTATGAAAACGTGTATTTTTTCAGACTACTCACTTAGAATTAAAAAGTCTGAAAAATACGCGTTTCACTAAAATCCCACATTTTTCAGTTAACACTTTTTAGTATAGTATCTATCAATCTAAACATCACATATAATATAACATATTAAGCCTGCCCCCAATAAACGGGATAATTAATAACATGACTTTGTTTTCGTTGCTATTTTTACATTGTGTCTATGCAGAAGGAGATAAAAGTAATATATACAAGTTCAAGATTATAAAGAATTGATATTAAAAAAAAAAATTATTGTTACAGAAAGCCATCAGTAGATGGTGTTGGCAACGCAGCATCCGTCAACAGCCGGTAAGTGTTTTTTTATTTATTATTATTTAAAAAAAATATAAAAACAATGACCATATAAAAAGCACTTGACAACGCCCAAAGCGTGTTCTAACTCAATCTACATTCGAGACGGAGTCGATTTTTTAAATAACCTCAAAATCCCAGGTATCAAACATAATCCAATCTCTAAAAATGGTAATTTCCGACGGCTGTTCTCACGGACCAAACAAAGGGTCAGTGAAAAAAGCAGCTAAATATTGAAAAGGGAAAAAGAGACAATATCCAATCACAATTACGATGCGGCCAGTAATTTGAGGACCGTGATTCGAAACAAATACACAATATATGATGTATTGGAAATCCACTTAGTACTCTGCTTCACTTGTTCGTTTTTTCAACAATTATAAAAAAAGTTTTGCTTTTATTGAAAATGCGAGGTAACCCTACTTTCAATATATGTATAATAAAATAAAAGAGTGTTAATTTAATTTATAAACATAGAAAATAATTTATAATAATGCTTTATTTGTACATATATAAAATTGCATTTAAAAAGGAGCAATATTGCAATATAGCAGTGAAGTTAGTTCTAGGTAATTAAATGACAGAAAGTTTCTTATGATATGAGGACACTGATAACTTAAACTAAGCATATTTTTCTTGAATATTTCTATGGTAACAGAACAAGTAAATTTATGTTTTACATAAACAAGTTATATATTTTTTTTAATTTCACTACCTACATCTTTGTTTAAATCACGTAGTTACTTGCATCTAAATGCGCCGAGGTATATAATAAATAAAAAAAAATCCAGATCGATCCAAACGAACTACTTAATTATAACACTTTTTAATTATTTTATTGTTAAATTTTTCTAAATTGTATTCTCATTTTTTTAATGGACAAAGAACAAACCTATACAGCTTTCCTTTCTGTTGCTGTATAATTATAAAAAAAAATACTCGTAGTAAAATTTTATTCTAAAACATATAAATTACTTAATAACCAACCAGAAAGAAAAACAAGCCGTCAAAGTAACAAGTGCTTAGTATGCCGGTCGCCTCCACTAAGCCGCGGCCTGAGATACTCGATGAAAATAATGAAAAAGCGTCACTCCATACTAAGCCTGGACAAATTAGATCCATCCACTGGCTGTGTGGCCATTTTGACGTGACGTTCAAGTCTTTGTGTAATATATCTTAGTATAAATAATAACTGAATGAATATATTTTTTTATGACACAACGATGGTAAATAAGCATACGGTCTATTTGATGGTAAACAATATTTGTATGTTACTATCCGTTTCTCGTGGTCGTGACTTCGTCTGATTTTTTTTTAATAAAATATATTCCATGTTCGCCCTCGTAATACAATCTATCTTAATTTAAAATGTCATTAAAATTCGTTTAGCCATTTTGTCATTAATAGATCTGCCACACAGCTAGACATATTTTTCAATTTATAATATTAGTATATAGTTAGAATAAGGCTAACCATTATTATTTTTGGTTCTATCACATTGATAAAGTTTCTAATAATAGTTTTTTTCTTATATATCTTGTATGTACCGATGTATGTCATCTATGTACAGACGGCGATCAATATATATTTTTTTTTATATAAATAAATATTCCTTGATAATTAACGCAGCGCCATCTAGGCGCACGGTAAGCAGAGCTTATGTTATGGATACTAGAGAACTGATATAATTACATAGTTTTTTTTTGTAAATACATATTATACATTCATCATATTCATGATTAGGAATCATACAAATGTGCACCGAGCGAGGAATCGAACCCCCGACCATCGGAAGTATACCGCTGGACCACCGACGCCGTCGTATATGTATATATATATTAATACAATACTAAATACACATGCGTTATTTAATAAAGAACAAGATATAATCAGGTAGCCATAAACGGTCTGATTATTTTTGTTCATCGTAAACTCAGAAGGCATACTTTATGTGAACTTTTAGTAAATCTATCTGTAATATCGACGATAAATCGTTTAATACAATAGTATCAACTAATTACGAGTTGCCTCGTAAGGGACAATAATCGAGATGGCATCGATTCGATCTCGATTCGATGCCTTATTCGATGCTACTGGTTTATTGTTTTAATCAAATGTATTTGCATACGGTTATTATGAGTGGAGAGAATATGTAACTCGAGGCTTTCAAGATATATGGTCTCAGTTTGTGCTATTCAAATATTGTTTAACCGACTGTTCGGAATGTGATAAGATAATTTATTCGTTTGACGATCTCCAACAGGCGGTGGTTCATATTTTTCAAATAAAAAAATATATAAATCACACTTTCATTTATTTCCATATATACTACTTAGTGCTGAAAATGACTTAAAAATTTCATTAATATAGTTAATATGTTTTTTATTAACAATGAATTTAATTAATTTTTATTTATAAAAAATGGAATTAGAAATATAAATAAAATGTAATATGATTTATGCTTATAAACTGAAGTAAATAGATAAAAAGTAAAGATTAATTCTAGTTATAATTAAATATATAAAATGTATGATCTAGAAGTTTGATATAATCAAGTTAAGTTATAAGTTCTCATTTGACCATAACAGTCATACCTATCTGCTGACTTTAAAAATAGAACCACCATATTGTGTGGACAGTCCAGTTCGGTTTAAATGCTAGACGTGAAAAATACATATAAGTGAAAGAAGAAATTAATAATCTTAGTCGTTGCTGCGGGGTGGCACCCCGTAATATAAAACAAAACGACTGCGTACAAAGTCAACCTAAGTTAATTAATATTAATTTTTATACATATTAGATATGTTGATACGATCAAATCATGTTAAAGATAAGCATCAAATAACTGAGTCCATCTGAGAACTCATTTGCTTCTACAGCACATCTAGCTAGGTAATTTTTCACGCGAAACTACCATAAAGCAAGGAAAACTTTGTGCAACTAGTATCCTAGTCACGCGCCCCGGGGTGGGAGAGAGAAGTGTGATAAAAGTAACTCGAAATTCATATGTGTGAAGGAGATAGAACAAGTGATGGATAGGCAATATATTTGGATGGAGATGAATAACTCGGAGTATTTATTTTAAGTATATCATTCATATTAGTCGATATAAGAAAGTTATTATTATATTTTTCATTAAATGCGAGCAGATATTGGTTCAGAATAAATATTCTTATCTAATTAAAGTGTTATTGTTTACCTTTTTTTAGTTATTACATTTAATTTACACAAACTTTCACGCAAAATTTATTTACATTTTACCTGTAGATGTTTTAACCTACGTTTTACTATTGGTACATTTTAAAGTAAAAAAAGTAAGTTTACTTCCGGTCTGTTTATTGTAAACTGCTTAAAAAAATAATTATATATCCCTTTTTGTAATTATCGTAAATTTAGATTTGGAACATAAAATGTCTAATGTTTCAAAATCAAATTGTATAATTGTGTACCACATGTTCAATACACTTTATAATAATATAGTATAACAATATAGAATTAATATTACCTATGCCCACGACTTTGTTTGTAATAACTTCATTAAACGGCCCTAATGTTCTGATTGTAGGTACACAATTCAATTCTCAGAATACTTCCGCACCGGTCCCCACGAGCCGCTTTCAAAATCAAAATACTCGAGAGAAGTTTGAAAAATGCCACGGTCCCCTATTTTAGGCGCATTAGCATACGAAAGACTTATTGTGGACAACAATGTGCTTTTCACTTTCATTTCTCAAGGCACAAAAGGTTAAAACATTTGATGGTCGGCGCGAGCCGTGACCAAATGGTGACAGTTGGTTTCTGTGATGCCGCCTAGATATCTTGTGACTGGCCACGACACAGCAGCATTTTAGCTATTTTTTATATTATTGTAATAGTCACTAAGCTACCGGCCCGCTTAATGGTAAGTGGTAACTGTCTTATGAATGATAATGGAATGGCGCACCCGTCTAGGCTAACGGTAGCTGGTTTCCAGGGGGAACCGCGTGGAGGTCAACCTGACACTTAGTGCGTTGCTAGTAATGAGATCAACGGGCCATATTATTAACAATCTCCCTAGTAGTAACTATCGCCTATATATGCATAGTTCTACGGACATCACGTTATCATGTGACGCCTGTGATACGGCTCATTTATTGCCAGGAGGTCTAAGATCTGATATCTCTTGTCCTGTTATGTCATTATTTTATTTTATCCAACAACCGAAACACAGCTTACAAAGAAAGTTGCTTTTCGTTGCAATAGATGACACAGAGGTAGGTACCCATGAACTCGTAAAAGAATATTTTCGAATTCTACCTCGGCTTACAGGAGTAATTAAAAATTCGAATTCTAAATTTAAGTAATAATAAATATAACTCAGGAAGAATTTGTACATCGCCATCTAGTCCCAAACTAAGCTGAGCTTGTACTAAGTACTAAACAACTGATAAAAGCTCAAAATATTTTAATTTAATTCTTTAGTTTTACTTTTAATTTACTTTATTTTCTGCTAATATTATTCAGTCAATTGTTACAGAGTGCAGTATCTTAAACTAAAACATACAATCTTATTTTAGTTTAAGATGCTGCGCTCTGTAACAATTAGTGTAGAGTAAGATTTATCGCCTCGATTATAACGCCGTTTGACCCCTGCCACTGCTGTTTTTATTCAAGGTGCCTGAATAGATTATAACTCTATGAAAGTATGTAGTGGACATACCCTTAATATTTAGAAATAAATTATATAGTAATAAATAATAGTGTAGATTCAAAAATGTCTATTTGTTAACTTTTCACGACTGAACAGATCTTAATAAAATGTAATATTAAGATAGATCGTATCAGGAGAAACATACGCTATTATATAAAAAATACAGATGAAGACGCAGGAAAAGTTAGTTTTTTTATAAACAAGATAATTTGTCTGTCAGATATTATAAGCGATTTTACACTGCCGCCTATATAGCAAGTTAACAGTTTCAAACATTTCGTCCTATCCAACCAAATCTTTCGTCTGC